ACCTTTTCCAATTTTTCCTAAAAATTCTAACTCATTAAATGGAATCCATGAGATTAATAAATTATTACCAGATAATATTTTTTTCAATGAATTATCAAGATTTTCAGAATCAACTGTCTTTGGAAAATTATTGCTTTTCGATTTTTGCAGCCACTCAATAGCTTTTCCTTGATTAGACGATGTTCCATAACCATTTCGATAACATAATCCAACTTTGTATTGTCCAAGGTAATAACCATTTTTAGCTGACATTAAATACCACTCAAATGCCTTTTTTTCATCTTTAGCTATACCAGTGCCATCCTGATAAAAAGTCGCGAGATTATATTGTGCGATGGAATTACCACCTTCAGCAGATTTCAAATACCACTCAAATGCCTTTTTTTCATCCTTTTCTGTGCCTATGCCATTTAGGTAGCAGATTCCAACATTAAATTGACCATTCGAATTGCCACCTTCAGCAGATTTCAAATACCACTCAAATGCCTTTTTTTCATCCTTGTCAGTACCTATTCCATTTTCGTAGCAGATTCCAACATTAATTTGTCCATTCAAATTGCCACCTTCAGCAGATTTCAAATACCACTCAAATGCCTTTTTTTCATTCTTATCCGTGCCTATGCCATTATCGTAAAATACTCCAACATTAAATTGTCCATTCGAATTGCCACATTCAGCAGATCTCAAATACCATTCAAATGCCTTCATTTCATCCTTGGCTGTGCCTATGCCATTTTGGTAACAATATCCAACATAGTACATTCCATTAACATTCTCCATATTGGCTGATATTTGATAGTAATCGAATGCCTTGTGTTCATCCTTTTTAACTCCAATTCCATTTTTATAACAATTTCCAACGTTATATATTCCATTAACATGTCCCATCTTTGCAGATTTTTGATAATATTCAAATGCCATGTGTTCACTCTTTCTAATCCCAATTCCATTTTGATAACAACATCCAAGATTATATATTCCACTAATATGTCCCATATTGACAGATTTTTGATAATAAATAAAAGCCTCATGATCATTCTTTTCAACCCCAATTCCATAAAAGTAGCAAGAGCCAGTTTTAAGCATTCCATCAGGATTTCCTATATTAGCGGATTTTTGATAATAAGTAAACGCTTTATTTTCATCCTTCTCAACTCCAATTCCATTAGCATAACAATAACCAATTTTAAACATTCCATTGGAATTTCCCTTATCAGCTGAATTTTGGTAATAATCAAATGCAGTTCGTTCATTTTTTTGAACACCTACTCCATTTAGATAACAATCCCCAAGACCGGACATTCCAATGGGATCAGATAATTCAAATAATTTCCAATATTGAGAAAATGCCTCACTCTCATCCATTTCAACCCCAATTCCATTTCGATAGCAATTTCCAATTTGAAACATTCCATCATAATCACCCATTTCAGCAGATTTTTTATAATATTCGAATGCTTTACGTTCATCCTTCTGAATTCCAATTTCATTTTGATAGCAATAACCGACTTGAAATATTCCATATGGATTACCCAATTCGGCAAATTTCTGATAGTAAGTGAATGCATTATGTTCATCTTTTTCAATTCCAATTCCATTAGCATAACAATAACCAACATAAAATGTTCCAAAAGTATTTCCGATCTCTGCTGATTTTTTATAATTCATGAATGCCTCGTGTTCATCTTTATCAACACCGATTCCATTTAGATAATGATGACCAAGACTATTCAATTCGTCCGACTCTTTCATATAATCCAGCTTTTTATAGTTGATATATATCTTATGTAAATCCATTCTGTCTTCTTCTATACGTTTATATTGAATGTTAAATTGATTTTTCGAAGTTTGCTTGAATGAATAAGAAGGTTTTTCTTATGAAATAAGGTTTATTGTTAACTAGTTGATAGGTTTAATATTTGATAGATAGTTTTTTTTTTTTTAATCTATACTTACTTGGTTTAGTTAAGTGAAATTCTCGACCTATTTTGTTCAGATAAATCATTACTTCAGATGAATTAGTTATATCAGAATTTCGGAGGACAACCCATTGAATTGAATATTTTGATTTCATAATTGGGTTCTTTTCAGAAGGTCTTTTGTCATAATTAGATATTTCATGTTCAAAATCATCCATGTTTATATCTTTATTATCAGGATCTCTCTCGTATTCATCAATAACAACGCCATTGTCTTCTGATTTAGGATATTCTTCATATTTATTATTTGCTAATTTATTATTATTTTTATTATAGTTACTTTTGATATATTCGAAATAATTGCTATTAGTACCTTTAATAACATTTTCTTCTTTATCTAAAAAACTATTCTTATAAACAAATTCAATATTGTCTGTTTTTAAGTCATTATTAGAATATTTTTCTCTGTCTTCGTTATATGCAAAAGAATTCTTAATAAGTTCTTGATTAGTAGACACCCAATTTTCATTTAATTTTTCATTGTCAAAAGATTTCGAATCTTCATTATTCTCTTCGTCATCAAAAGAACTGTCAAAAGATTTCGAATCTTCATTAATCTCTTCGTCATCAAAAGACTTCGAATTTTCATTCATTTCGTCGTCAAAAGATTTTGAATCTTCTTTATTGTTAAAAGATTTTGAATCTTCATTTACTTTTTTATTGTTAAAAAATTTTGAAACTTCATTTAATTGTTCATCGTCAAAAGATTTTGAATCTTCATTCACTTCTTTATCGTCAGAAGATTTCGAATCTTCA